TTTTGAGCGATGTACCCGAAGTCAGTTGTAAGTCTTCGATGGCACTGGCCCATCGCACGAGTTCTTCTTCCCCAAATTCAGTCTGCATAATGCCCAAGCCAAAAGGCATGCCAGTGTCGGAGTATACCCCAGCTGGAATCGTTATCATTGGGTACCCAGCCTGTGCCGCTATCTGATATGTTTGGGCTACTGAGATAGGCACTAGCAAGCCTGAAAGCGGTTTTCCAGTGTGGTTCAGTGCACCGTCGATGCCGACACGCGTGGTGGTCTGCGTGTAGTTGAGAGCTTTCCAGTAAGTTGCGTTCCGATTTCCTTGAGTGGCATTTGACATCAGGAATCCATCTTGCCCGGTGCGAAAAGCTGGTATGCCGTGAAACACTTTGTAACGTCCGGACATTGTGTAGTTCCCATCAAAAGGATACCCTCCTTCGATTCCATCATTTTCGTAATTGAACTTGATGATATCCTCAAGCGATTTCATCTTCGTGTTCTGGAGTCCAGAGAGGTAATTCTTGATGTTGTTGTAGAAGTCGACCAGAACGACAAAATACTCTGACTTTTCAGGGTGGCCTATTTTGCCTTGCCAATTCCAATCCCAGCCTGCTTTATTCACGACATTTTCGTGATCGGTAATTTCAGTGAAGTTAACAATGGTACCACCATTCTTCTGAATGAGAGTTATCAAGCTGCCAAGCTGTGCTTTGGTTTCTTCATTCGCAATAGCCCAAAAGCTGTTCCACGGAATGCCGAATGTCGCGTTTTGCAAGCTAGTTTTGTTAGTCAGATATTGAGCATAGCCTCCCGATGGAGGTGTCTTTCCGCTCTGGTTTCTGGTGTACTCGTCTCTTGGATCGACGCCATAGATGGCATCGAGGGCGTACACTGCATCGCGGACAGTTCGACCGAAGGTGCCAACTGTGTCCTGGTGTTCGCACTCTGGTATGACTCTATATTCAACAGGTCAATTAATACTTATCTGTGCGTGGTATCAGTCATCTAGTGATGATTGGTCAACGTACCCGTCTCTTGAGGTCAGTCCGACAGTCGGCTTGATGCCCACTACGCCATTCTTATGAGCAGGGCTGATGACTGATGCCGAGTTAGTGACTGATGCGCGTGATCAATAAAACAAGGCCATAGTCTTACCACTGCCGTCCGTTTCTGTGCCGAGAGAAAAGGCGATCGCATTGGCAGCCACTCCTACTGCACTGCCGGAGCTACTTCCCATGGGATTGAAGACCAAGTTGTAGGGGCTTCGTGGCTGTCCACCCCGCGGGGAGTATCCCTCTGAATATCCAGTACTCCGCATGTCTGCCCATTCGCTCATTGTGGATTTCCCAAATAGTACAGCTCCCGCTGCTCTCAAACGAGCAACAACGAAGGCATCACGAGGGACGATGCTTCCCAATAGTGCATAGCTCCCAGCAGTTGTTTCCATACTGTCTTGTGTCGCAATGTTGTCTTTGACAGTGAACGGGATTCCATGGAGGGGACCGAGAACTTGGCCCGCTTTTCGTTGTTCGTCCCTTTTGGCTGCGATCGTCATGACGTCTGGATTCAATTGCATCACGGAACTATTGTGATGGAGTTATTACTCAGCAAATATGAGCTGGAGATTCAGCTTAGAAACGCTAACCTGATGTACTCTTGAGTCTGGAAAGTGCGTTGCATATAGCACATTACCAGCTGTTGAGACGTCAAAATGCCATCTTGCATGGCCTTCTGCATCTGGTCGATGGTCGCTTCTTCTAACTTGAAGGTTCCAGCGCAAACGGGCATGGGGAAGAGTTCTGTAGTATTTTCATTCTGTAGCAGTGGAAACAAAGGAGTCACCAAGCTGGTGCTGGCCACAAGTTGTCCAATGGCCGGGGCCACAAAGTATGCTAGCACTAGCAAGGATCCGGATTGATGCCATGCCGGGGCTATGGAGGATGGTACATTTAAACGCATAGTTGCTCAGCTTAAGCTAGCAGTATATAAGATGATGAAAATGAAGTAAGGAAAGAGAGCCAAGTGCGAGAAGTCATCAATGATTATCGTGTATAGAATCGGTCTATCTTATAGCCAGCGTGAAAGCGGAACCTCGAACTGCGACAAGACTCAGAATTTTCTAGAATGACTTGAAGGTCTCAGGCTTCTACCATGCATTTCGCCGGATCTTAATGGTAATTACAATTCTCGCCAGAGGTCCAAAACATTATCTCGGCGTTTCTGTTTTCGGATCCATCGCGTCAACTTGTGGCTTTGCCTCCTTATTGGAGAGTTTGCGATATGTCGGTATCCCACTTTTCTTACACCTTGTTCCCTTAGCAAACTACAGTCTCTGAGACATACGTGCATGTGGCTAGTGCTCGCTCAACAGTGTCAGCCGATTCACGCGTTAGCTGCATTCGAAGAACCCTTTTGTGGCTGGCTGAACGATTAGGTCAGACTTGCTAGTCCACGGCTGTCTCACCCAGTGGTTGTCTGCGGCCTAATTTGTATTGTGTCACATACAACGCATCGAATGCATCCGTTGAATCTCGAGGCCAGTTCTTGTGCTTGGAAAACCAAGCGAGCTGATTCCGAACGATGTCGTTCTGTGGTGAACCGATGGCTGCATGTTCAGTAGTTTGCCAAATCTCATATATCACACCATGCATCAACGGAGAAAGCCTTCTGGAGCCAGGCATAGGGCTTCTCCCGAATGAATTGTAGTGCTGGTTTCATGAAAGTGGTGTTCCAATACTTTATGGCATTTCAGCTTGGGTAAAATCTCTCAATTCACAAGAATTTAGGCATAGATTCCGATGTACCGAAAAGGGATTTAGGCACCAAGCTGCTGAAGTCCGTACCCACCCATGAATGCATGACTTGACCGTTCGTATGGTGATGATGCTCAGCTAATTCTCGGTTGTTGGACGCAAACTCGAATTGCAACTTCCGACTTCTTGGAAAATTTGGTCTGGAAGTTGCGTTACTTGGCGCTCTGGTCTGCATCACAGTTGCGATCCTCTATCTCTTTGTGGTCTCCCGTAGGCTCGTCCAGAGCAATGCCCGTCCCAAAGACCAGACAAGAACTTAAGTTCACTATCAAATAACTTACCAAAAACCTACCCTAAGCCTCCCTCCGTATTATTATCATTAATAATTAGAAGCACCTCACTCTCATACATTGTGTATGGCAACCAAAATGCGCCGAGAGATCAACCAAGGAGGGCAATGAATGTCCCAATGGACATACCAGTCGGAGAAAGGAGGTATGTTGATGGAATGCATTGAGCAGCCGGATATCCGGTGTATGCCTCACCTGATTGCCTAGTAGAATAAGCTGTGCTGGAGTGACTGAGATCATTCCTGGAAATCACCAAAAGATGGTTGACGGGCACATTGAAATTCCCGTGGCATCCCAACTTTGCAGATCAATTACCAAATGCTATCACTGGACAGCCGTTGATGGGACGTTGCACCACGAGTATCCTTGTCGTCAGCGACTTTAGTCTGAACTTAGCACACCAAATTAGCGGTCAATCGACCTCTCAGAGTCGGGAAACCGGACGATCCGCTTTATGCGCTCCATCAAGATTACGACCGAAGTCGCGAGTCTTCACCTTACAGGTCCGTGATGCCCCCGTCGGGTGCCACACCATCTTCCATGACGCCCCGCAGCGGGTTCTAGACTGAGACTGACCGTTGAAGAACAGCGTTGCTTTCTTCCTTTTCTTTTGATCTTCCTTCATTTCTCCACGAGGCGTTACCGAGTACCCGGATCACCTTACACTCCCTGATCGTTGAAGCCTCTTGCTCAATCGATCCAGTCCTTTAGGCTCTCCCATCACCTCCGACGAAGGAAAATGGCAGAACCAACCCCAACTCCTGCCGCTTCAACTCCGGCTAGCCCCCAGATTGGAGCCGTGGCTGAACCCGAGCCCGAGCCCGAGCGGCCCGCTCCCGAAGTGGAGGTAGAAGTCGATCGGGAAGAAAATGACTCGTCTTGGGGCGATGATGAAGCTTCTCGCGCCAGCACCTCGCTCAAGTCAGTCACGTCAACATACGAATGGAAGCACGGTCGCCGGTACCATGGCTATCAATCCGGTTCTTACAATTTTCCCAACGACGAGGAGGAACAGGACCGGCTTGATATGATCCATCATGTCTTCTTCAGGTTGATGCATGATCGCCTGTATCTTGCGCCCATCAAGACAGAGGGGCTGAAGGTTCTCGATATCGGCACCGGCACCGGCATCTGGCCTATTCAGTTTGGAGACGAGCACCCAGAGGCCGAAGTGATTGTCGGGAACGACCTCAGTCCCATCCAGCCACAGTGGGTGCCGCCGAACGTCAAGTTCATCATCGACGACGTTGAGCTAGACTGGGCGGAGCCCGAGCAATATGACTACATCCACTGTCGTTACATGGCAGGTTCCATCAAGGACTGGCCTCGGCTGGTGAACCAGATCTACGAGAACTTGAAACCTGGCGGCTGGGTCGAATTCCAAGAATCTGCAAACACTCTGTACTCCGAAGATGGCTCACTCAAGCCTGACAACGCCATGGTCCAAATGATGGACGGACTCATGGAGGCGTGTGAGAAGATTGGGAGAACGATGGACCCGGCGCCGTCCTTTAAGCGCTGGACCGAAGAGGCTGGTTTCCAGAAGGTGGACGAGCAAAGGTTCAAGCTGCCCATTGGCAGTTGGCCTAGAGACGCGAGATTGAAGGAGGTCGGCACGCTTATGGGAGTTAATTTCCTGGAAGGGGTAGAGGCATTCACTGCCGCGCTGTTCAAGGACGTTTTGGGATGGTCCCCGGAGGAGGTCACTGTCCTCAATGCTGGGGTTCGAGCGGCGGTACGAAAGAGAGACGTTCACCCCATCTTCGATTTCATTGTCGTCACTGGCCAGAAGCCTTTGTAAGTTGCAGTGCAATTATGAACAGTCTCGAGTCAATTGGGCGGCCTCTTTTGCGGCATTAGCAGCGTTGGGTGGACTATCTCGAGTTATCATAGCAAAGCGCGTTATTCAAAAGTCCTGTTTCTGTGGTGTTGCCTCCATAATATCTTCAACATGATCCGACGCCTCCTCGTAAGCATCCACGTGAGCCTTTGAAAAGTCTCTAGCTGGAATCCTTCTTGCAAAGAGCATGTCCAACTCCTCATACGTACGACCTTTACACTCAGGTAGGCGGAAATATGACCAAATGAAGATGATCCCAGCGGTGCCCGCCCAGAAGAAGCCGGCTTTGCCTCTCAAATTCCACTCCGTAGGGTTCCTTTACGCCGTTAGTAAGTGTTTGCTTCCGCGATCAATCTCAGTTTTAGTGATGCGGAACTCACATCATGTAAGTCTGCAGGACTTGCGACACAATATTGACAAGCTGGTAAGCATTTCGCGATAGCACAACTGTCAATGGGCGAAGCCGAACCGAAGACGTCTCGCTGATGACGCTATACTGTTGCCTTTATTAAATTTGCTCTTCCTGTGCGCCAAGACAACAGAGAAAATGAAGGGACTTGGGTCTCTGGGTCTCAGTGACTTACAGTAATAGGTCCAATGGTAAGAGACTGTAGTTGTCAGCTTTGCCCCCCTGACTCTGGATTTCTTTTATGTATCAGAAGGTTTCACTCACATAAATAAAAAGCCAGAAGACACAAAGACCGCCCGATGGCCAAAGTCCCTTCTCGCCAGCGGACACGTCAAGAATGCCTATGATGAACAGGATGACAGTGAGAGCTCCGATCCCGGTAACATATATTGCACGTCGCCCCCAATGAGTGATGAGCCACCATGACATAAACATCCCAAGTCAGCTTGATCTTGATTGTCAGATGTCCAACTCCAAGACTCTTACATAACGGTTCCAAGGAAGGCCATTCCCTTTGCACCCAGGCTCAGTTCGAACGCATTCGCCGTTTTCATTCCCGCGGTAGTGAAGAAGTATGTCGGGGTGTAAGCGAAGCTGCTGCCAGACATGACTTGACCTGCAAACGCAACACAGCATATTTCAGTGCGTCGACGATCAATGCCCTTGAAGCAATCAAGGTACGTTACGCCGCTTGTCACTCCCGATTCGACCTTAGTTGTATGAACCATCATTGCTAGCTGAGCATTAATCTGGTCTTGAGTCTTGTCACCGCTGAGTCGCTCGATGGACCGTCTAGCGTCTTCGAGGCGGTCTTTTCGGACTAGATACCACGGACTCTCGGGTGCCAGATATGAAACAATCATCAGAGGGACAGGCCAGAGCTTTTAGCAAGGTTTGTGTTAGGTGATGCGACTTGATAAGTAGTTGATAGACTCTTGGGGCAAACTCACCCATTGGATTGCGAAAGGAATCCGGTAGGCCATCTCGCCCTCGATGTTCAGACATCCGCGGAGGACACCAGCAGCAATTAGCTGACCAGTTGCCCAGCAAAGATTTACCTAAACCGGATTAGTCGCGGCACTCCATGGTAGCCCATCAAGACACCGCACGTATGTAGTCATGTAACCGCGAAGGTTCGTAGGGCAGACTTCGGAAGCTATTGCATGCCTAATCAGCAGCTAATCAGACATCGAATATTAGTGACGAGGTTTACCATAAGCTGGACTTAGTGTTGCAAAAACGCCCCAGGAAAGGCCGCAAAGAATTTGCCCAACCAGAAGCATGGCGGCTGAGTGCGCGAAGAAAACAACAAAGATGAAGCAGTTCAAGAAGAACATGGCGCCGATCATGACCCACCGATAGCCATACTTGGACGCGAAGTATCCGTTCATCAACCCGCCTGGTCGGTGTCAGTTACCAGTTGGTTCTAGTTTAAAGATTGGAAGTACTGACCAAAGATAGCACCGACCGTAGAAGCCATCGTCAAACCTGTTTGCCACGGTCCAGAGACCTGATAGCCAATTTCTCCGCCATACCAACTGCCATACTTCTTTTGGAACTCCGGATAGGCAAAGAAGTTGTTGATTAGGATGACATCGTATCTGGAAGAAATCAATGCTAAGCATGCGTCTCAGGATTGTCAAAGACTCGAAACAGAAATTGCTCACCCTTCCATCACAATAGACATGGAGATCATTACAGACCAGAACACTGCCTTGCGGTTCTCTCTGAGTGCCTGCCGAAGGGTCTGCGCATGTTCATCGTCTGAAGCTTGCTTGGCTTCGTGAATAGCCGACTGCCCAAGTTTCTCTTCGACCTCATTCTCAGCTGCCTTGCGCAAATGGCGCACCTCAAATTCGCTCTTCAAGGCCATTATGACCGAGAAATTTTGCTATATATCAATTATTCGAAAAGGAAGCAATAAGGGATGATGCTAAAAGTTGCACAATGGTCGCTTAAGGCGGCCGGCCGGCATATGAACCGTGATGGGATGCTGGCTGGTCTATATAGAGACACGGCAGATACGAAGTGTAGCATTTCGTCAAACAACCGGCATGCCATTGCATCCGAACCATCACATTGGAATGTCTCGGCATTCGGGGAGGTACATGTTTTCTGGCCGACGTGCATGGTAAGTAGCTTTTCAAGTTGCGTCAATATCAAGAAAGATTGGCTCTTCATCCCCACATGATCGAGCCTCCCCACAACCCCAGACTGGAGTCGCAAAAGTCTGGGGCCGACGGCATGGCTTGTAGTTGGTTGGCATTATAAACCCCCGTACGTGAAATTCAAAGAGTATGGCTGATGAGCGAGAGAGACTGCAATTCTCAGGGATCTTCCTAGACCTACCCTGGAGAATGTGAAAGACAGCCGTCAAAGATGTCTCAGAAGCTGACCTTAGGATCAAGACTCTATGCAGTAGGATCGTTCAGAAAGAGGGGAAGTGCGCCAAGAGCATTTGGGAGCTGTGGGGCAAGCGGCATTGGCGAGTTACGGTTGGTTGGGTGATTTTGGACGTGGAAGTGGCGGAGGATCTCCGCAAGTTGGGAAAAGCTTCAAGGAAGGGTTTGGGTGCGTCAAATTGGGGTATTGGGATGAGAAACGAGCGTTACACGAACAATAGACACAACACGGAAAAGAGCCTGGATGCTTCATGGACCGGATAAGTTCAGAACACTAAAATCCTTGTGTACCAAGAGCCTCCGTTGACCCGGACTCATGCAAGCACAGGAGCCCAGTCTATCCTTTCATGTGACGCTCCCCCAACATGCCTTGATGTCAGATAAGAGGCCCCATGTATAAAGTAGAAGACTTTCTTTTGCAGGGTACTCTACTATCTTTGCCTCGTTGCCGCTGCTTCATGCCTCCGATGAAGATAATCCTGGGGAAGACTGCTTTCGAATCTTTCTAATAAGTCATCATGCCCTTGCAGCAGTGCCTTCACTGTCTCATGGGTCTCAAAGAGCACCGCCTCAGAGTTTCTAGCTGGGTTCTGTGTGGCAGTGTAGAAGCTACTCAGGGCCTGGATGAAGGCCGCATAAACCTCCGGCTGAGTTGTCTCGAAGCGCCGCTGTAATGTTGGTCAGGAAAGTCATAACGATTCAAAATACTGGTTCAGGTTACCAGTACGAAGCGATGACTAACCTTCACGTCGTCAAGAAAGCTCCAGCTTTCTTGGTACACAGTGGACCCCGCCTGGTCCTGCGGGGTGACGATCTCCGGGGGTTCTGACATGGAGTGCATTGTGGAAAGTTTTGTTTGCTCTTGTCAATCGAGCAATGTTTAAAGGTTGACCTTTCTTCCCGAGGGAAGATTATTTAAAGACTTTTTTGAGGGGTCCGTTGGGACTCCCCCGACTTTATGTGAGTAACTCCGCTTTCCAAAGATCCTTCTGCCCCGGCCCGGAAATAAAAGTCATGGCATCGGCCAATATGCGTGGTTCAAGATCGTGGCGACCAACAAGTTTCTTCACATAGAGCATTTCATGCCAAAAAAAAATGATGTAATCACTTGTGTGTAACTCGTTGGGGCAAGCTACGCAGGCTGGGGGCACAGCAAAGCGAGATCCACCTCGGCAGTTCTCGATTGAGGGGAACTTACTGAATAGACGGGGTTCAGGATATTGGGAACCGAAATGAATATATGAGGTCTCTGAAATAAGATGTACTGAGATAATGCTGCACACATTTCGAGTCATATCTAGATAAGCAAAAAGACTTCCTCCTCGCCGAACCGAGCTCTGATCGTATCGTCAGCAGCCTCGGGCATGAGCGGATCGATGAAACAGTCGCCTAGTAGCCACCACCCGTTGTCAACTTCTCTAAGAACGAACGGAATCGGGCCACCGTACAACATCACGACTACATCTCCTTTTCTTGCGCAGGCCGGTGCTAGTCCATAGAACCCCTTTGCTGTCTCAAAGACACGTCGCTGATCACAAGCGCGGGACGCTGCGACTCTGAACCGCGAGGCGTTCCCGTCACTCAACGCGATATTGAGAGGCTCAAAAGTTGGAGACTCTAGGCCGGAAACCTCAAGTAAGTTGTGTACGTATGTCAGATAGTCTGCATGAAACTGCTCACGGTCGGCAGATGATTCGAGCTCTTCCACACGCTCATACCCAACAGTAACCCCAGCAGTTAGAGTGAGAGCCATCATCAACACGGCCATCAGCGAGTCTTCAAACTGAGATTCTGGATACGACAGGTTTGAAGACGCACGATTCCATAGACCTAGCATTGGATGAGGTGACACCGCAGACCCTGTGGATCTTTCCTTGAAGTCTTGAACGTCCAGAGCGCGGGTTATCCAAGCAATGGTGTCGAATCTGACACCAGCGACGGCTAACTTGCCATCTGATGATGGGTTAAAATCTGTCAGTTCCGGAAGGCCATGCTTGTCGCCCTCTTTCCAGGCTGTCAGGGATCGACTATCGAGAATGGTCGAAACGTCGCCACTCAGATCCCATCTTGGTACCCATGAAGGAAAATCGGTTGGTTTGTACTCGAATCCGTGTTGGACATAGCACAAAGAAGCCAATGATTCACTGTCTGTGACAGCAGTAATGACAACGTCTGCGTAAACCTCTGCCACACTCTTTCGGTAGTCAACACTCGGGAAAAGCTCGAGGTTCTCTGGGCGCATGAGCCCCAATAGCCCGTAGACCTTGTCCCTCAAGTTTGTGGCATGGTGATCTCGGAAAGCAATGAGAATTTCCAAGAAAGTTGATTCTGGTATGCCGCTTGTGTCGAACATGGCATGTGCATTGTCAAATGGCATACCTTCGATCTCAGCCGGCACATCGTAGTCATTCGCAAGATGCTGCTCGCTTAACCAGGCAGCCGTGACTCCCAGTTTAACCCAGTCTAAGGATCCAGAGCCGACGTAAACTCTAGAAGATCGGGCGAGAACAATTTCTTGCACGCACCAAACTCGCGTGAACCAAGGTCGAGACAGCAGCCACCCCAGCGCTTCCCAGTCTTCTGCCTTCGGCTCCGGCTTGCTCAAACGCATCCCAGCCGCGGCAATATTCTCGATAGAGACCCCTGCGAGTCCTTCCAGCGCTTGTGTCGCCGGCGTAAAGTGAGCCATGCTCAAAAGATCGATGTTCTTAGCTAATGCGTGGTCTTCGCAAGCTTGATGAATCGTCTCGATCAAAGACATCGCACGGGGGACCCGGCCTTCGTTGTCGAGGCCTAGCCATACCACTACCCTCTCAGCACGCGAGTAAATGTCTCTCATGAGTTGTACTTGATCTGCTCTCTCGTCCATATCCTCTTGATTGATGCACAGAGCATCTGCCCATATCAACAACTCTCGGTCTGGATGGCGTAAGTGTTGCAGAGCATCGTGAAGGTTCTGGGTAATCGAGACAGGTTGTCCAGAGCAGTCAATCTGTCGGCGCTCTGATGGGTCTCCCCAGACATATGATAGCGCCTCGAACATTGGGAGATCATCGATACTTGCTTCCTGAAGTCCGATTTGGATAGGGCTAGTGTCGGGATCAGGCTGCAGAACCAAGATCCGGATGCACCGGCTGGCCAGCCGACTCGGATACATCCGAGCTATTATTGCAGTAGAGCTGGGGGATCAAGGGAGGTGACGTGTGTTGAAACATAGATGAAGGGAAGTATCTCGCTGACGCAACGGGACAAGAGCAATCCAGTCGGTAGTATCATAGATTTATGAAGGGCGAGTTAGTCAGTCTGTCAGCGCGTGCAGCTTTGTGCCCATTGGTTGCAGCTGAGCGGCAGGAAGATGCGTTATTTTCCGCGGAGCTCCTCGCCGCACCAACTCTGCTTGTCTAAGAAACGACTTGTCAATCCACCACATCAGCGAAAAGATCGGCCAAGCAGGCCATTCTATGCATCACCGATTATAATGGATATTCTGCTAAGTATGCTGAGACTATTTTATGCCAAGTTTGTTTCAATGGCCTTGAGGGCTTCCGAGACCCTTCAAAGGTCAAAAGAGTCGGCTACAGCGACAAGAAGGGGGCCCCTGTGCTCACGCCAGACCAAGACGAGATAGCAAAACCAGTTCCCTTTTCTCGGGCCTAGAAGTCCTTTCATCACGGAAAGGCGCAACATGTACTCTGAGATTGAGATGTACGTGTTCGCGCATCATCCAGTTCCACTTAGATGCCATGGTTGCAATCCAAGTCTAAAGATTTTGGTAACTCCACAAAGCTTGACGGCTCCGAACAGATTGAAGATGTTAGTGATGACGAAGCTTCAACTTTCTCAAAAGTCGACTGCTCTACTACTTTCCTCGTCAAAGTGGAAAAGTCAGAGCACGGCGACACCCTCATCATGATAGTATGGCAAGGTACACGATTGAGTGAATGGCACCGCTGGAAATCTTGCGTAGATCGTAACATACACCGCCAGCATAATCAGCTCTGAATCCTATAGTTTCGAGTATTCTCTCAGCGGTGGGCTAGTTAGATTGAACTTATCCGCCCATCACGAAATTTTGGCTGCCATGCGATTAGGTAGTGACGTTATGGTGTGTTCCCGAAGAGTACTCGCGGCCGCCAGGCCTGCTAAGCCGGAACCAACCATGATGATGCTCAACTTTGATTCTGTCATATTAAATGAGAAGTTACGATCAAGAGACGCCGCTTAGTGATTAGCTGTGTATCCAAGGATTCGGCTTCGGTCTATAAGAGAACGCCGAGCAATAACCACACTACTGCTCCGTGACGTTGGTGTCATCCGCCGGTTCCCTAACTATTTGCTAACGTACCGGTGGGATAAAGCGACGAGACTAGTGCAATCTGATTGTTCCTAGTAGTCCCCTGATTACTCGGCTTCCTCAAGCTAATATGACTGACGGGATTAGTTTCCCGAAGGCTCAGGGGTCGAATTTGTGAGTGATGCGGGTGGCAATTTTAACGACCACTGATCTGTCTCGGGGGCCGCAAACCTATCTTGTGTACACAACCTGCCGGTGGGATGGTGTCGCTCAACACGACATGCAAATTGCAAAGCAGCGGACCGTACGCCGACTAGTCCCCGCTGGCCGAATCTAGCCCCGCTGGCCTCTAGAGATGTTACAGAGATTGTTGTGTACTTCGCAGGCCGACCCCACTGAAGACCTAAGTGCGAACATTGCTCTCCGACATTCCGACTTCCCTTTGGTTGTTCGTAATGGTTCAAGGAACCTGGAAGCGAGACCTCGTCCGCTGAATCAGCGGCGTGTAACAGACACCCGCAATATATAGATAGATAGGCTGTAACGTTCGCTCACAATACCCAATTTCCACCTCTAGTTACTGCAGCCTTTACAGCCATTCTTAGTCTATTGGATAGCGGACTTTCAAATAACTGACCATGAGTTCATGGGATACAACACAGCCGTTAGCGGAAGCCGGCTGGTCGGCGGAAGCTATCATCGGAATGCTGCTGATGACTTCGCTGCTCACCATCACCTTTGCTTTCTTTTCTCCAGGTAGCCATTCTTCCGATATTCCGCTAGTGGGGAAGGAGGCAGGCGGTCATGAAAAGCGGCGCACGATGTACTTCGCAAAGGCATCCAAGCTTTATGAGGAAGGTTACCAGAAGGTTTCTCGCCGCCTACGAATCCCTTAAGACGCCTGGGCTGACATCAATGCCTAAAGTTCAAATCGTCAGTGTGGCGTATCACCGGTGCCGATGGTAAGGAGATACCCGTGTTGTCACTTTTCGTCCCATCTCACACCATGACAGGCGACATCATCATGATTCCGCTTCAACATTGCGACGATCTTCGGACGATGCCGGATGACACTGTCAACAACGTTCCTCTCTTGGAAGCCGTTCGTGAATTTCCCTCGGCACTCAACAGAGTTGATGCTGATGCTGCCTTAGCTTTGCGAGACCAGATGGACGGATTACCATCCAATCAACCCCCTTTTACTCAACGTCATCAAATCAAACCTCACGCCGAGTCTCAGCAAGATCTCCGTCACGCTTTCAGGCCATATCGAACGCATCGTGCTGGACAACATCGGTCCCTGTCCTGAATGGAAGGAGGTAGTACTCTATGAGAAACTACTAAAAATGGTAGCTGTCATATCCGGCCGCGTCTTCATTGGCCCCGAGCTTTGCCACAAAGAAGAGTATCTAGAGGCCAGCACTATGTTTGTCATCGACCTCTTCCAGGCAGCGGCCAAGATAAAGAGGTGGCCAAAGTTTTTGCGATTCATCGGCAAAAACTATGTCCCTGAGATCAAGAAGTTGGCTGAACACAGACGCCGCGCCGCCCAAGTCCTAATCCCAGTCATTGAAGCACGCAAAAGATTGCACAAAGAAGATACCGAGGTACCAGAGGACATGCTGCAATGGTTCATTGTCAAATCTAGCAAGTTTGGCATGGGCAGGAATGAGCAGCTCGCCGAAACGCAGCTCAGCTTGAGCGTCGTTGCTATCCATACCACCACAATGGCAGCCACGCATACGTAGGTCACCCCAGGCCACAAAATGTTCGAGGAGGTGACGTGGCTCATCAGACTGACCGGACGAAAGATTGTATGATATTGCTGCACGATGTCCCGGTGTCGTTCCCGCTCTCCGGAAAGAGGTTCAATCTGTTCTAGCCGCCAATGGGAACGAATGGTCAACTAGCGCCCTCTTCCAGATGAAGCTGCTCGACTCAGTCTTACGCGAGTCCCAACGTTTCAATCCCGCCAGCTTAATCAGCTTCATGCGAACTATCACAAAGCCAGTGACGCTTAAAGATGGCACTCAGCTCCTACCTGGCACCAACATCGCGGTGCCCATGGTCGGCCCACTACAAGACAATCTCTACTACACTGAATCAACCCAATTCGATCCCTACCGCTTCGTGTCCATCCGCAGCGAGGCCTGCAGCGATCCATTACAGTATGCAAACAAGGAACAGTATCAATTCGTGTCATCGACCAAGGAGAACATGGCCTTTGGCTTTGGCCGCCACGCGTGTCCGGGCCGCTTTTTTGCTGCTACAGAGATTAAGATGCTCATTGCGAGACTTCTTTTGGAATACGATATTCGAATGCCAGATGGTGCCACGGAGCGGTATAAGAATATCGTGAGAGGCGACATGATTGAACCGGATCATACGAAGACGATTATGTTGAGAAAATGCACCTGAGTGGGTTCTACAGTTGGAGAACTTGAGGAGGGAGATATGTTGTAACTCCTCGTGATTGAGTCCAATGGCAGTAGCGCTGGTCGAGGCCTCAATTTATTTGTCGGCGAAGATACCTAGGCATCTAGAGCAATGTCGCTTGTTTTATCCGCCTCGGTCGCGTGGCGCATCGACAACACCATAGTTTGCCATTGTCAACATCTCGGGCACAGCTCAGCATAGCAACATGATATCAACCCATAGAAGCTAATTTTCTTTGCCGCAAATGCTAGCGCTTAATGTTTAATGAAGCCTTCCAGATTCCACAATAGTTGACACAGTGCCCGTCATAACCACTGAGGTGTGACGTTTCGGCCCGGAAACGGTGGTGATTGCAATGAAAGCTCGCAAGGGGTCTTTCCTATCCAAGATATCTCAGCAATCACGTAGTTCGAAGTATCACAGTCGGCTGTAGGTCATCGAGCTTCAGAGGTAACCGTTATTGATGAAAAACAAATTTGCAGATTTCACATTTGATGATGATTGTCTATCATTTCCCTGCGCCTCCATAGGCTCAAAACATTACGTCACAGACTGGGCTCTCAAAATAAACCTCTTTCTCTATGATAGCTTATAGACAATCTTTCCCACTGGCTCGATGCATTGGAGGCTTGGCCAGCATCAATCTTTCCCAATGAAGGCCCGGATCCATATTCACAGAACTTCATACACCAGAGTCCTCATATATACAGAGTATGCTAGGCCGATTGTTAGTTAGGCGTCACCAAAATACACGCGCAAAGATTTTCTTTAGGAAAATTACCTTTCACTCTCTCCCAACTTCAGTCCAATAAAGTCGTTTACCGGGGGCAGCACTTCCAGTATCCGGTGCAAGGCGCACCCCAATCCTTACCCTTGCACTGCGGCGAGTTGTCGACGAACTTGACCCTCTGGCCAACCGGGCATGACGCCGGCCAGTCGCAGGCCATACGGTTGCTCGACATGACGCAGGTGGTCTTGATGCCCTCCGTCATGCGGCACCCATCGCTTGCGGGGACAGCTGTGGCGACTGTGGCTAGCGCCAGCATCGCAAAGATTGAGGAGAATTGCATTTTGTTTCGGGGCTGATGAAGCTCTGGATTTAAAGGCGTCGATGGTAGGTCCGTTTTGGAAGGAGTGAATTGAGCGGCAAGAGATCAGTATGGCAAGTTTGACAAAAGCCAAGGAACTGGTTTCCTCATTAAGTACCTAAGAGTCTCTTAAAATCAATTCTCTTCAATCCATGCCTTCAATTTGTTCGTGAATATAACGACCGGGATTGGGGATGTAGCTCAGACTAATTGTGAACTATAAATCTCTCTCGACAAGACTTCATCTCACAGCATATTGTGGGACGCCGTTGTCCGTGGAATCCGCGTAAATGTAATGAAAGTGATTAATACGAAATTATGGCTGTATCAGGATGAAGCTTAATATCCACCACTTTTTCTTTCCACTTCGTTTCTTCTTAGGCAATTCAGTGCCGCGCCATTACGACTCATGGCAACTTTTAGATTATCGGCCTCGGGGAACTCCATCTCGGCGAATCTTGACCATTGAGAACACAGTCAATGCGCAGAGCCACGTGGGAAAATCTAAAAGTATGGGACGAATCAGAACCTTACTTTATTACTAGGCACAACCAACCTAATACGTAGTAGGCTTGAGCGACTCAGGCACACAACCAGCCCGAATGAAGTAATGACCTTCCAAGTTAGCTGTCTGTGATCTAGAGAATCATATATGCCCTTGTCCTATCAAATTTTAACTTGGTCTAAGAATCACATCCGAAACCGACCTTCACACTTGACATCGGTACCAAGCAGCCAAAGTAGTCAATCCACAACTCACCCCATCTCCTTATCACGTCCGAATCGAAGACGAAGAACGCGTCTCAAGACTGCGGTGGGATGAACAAGCCCACATCAAGTCTAGAAGGCTCTCTGTTGGATTAGAAGGCAGAAAAGGGTCTAGGTAGACGGTTAGGTAGGTGTGGTAGGTAGGCGGTTTGGGCTGGTGCAGACGGACCCTTCACCCGCTCACCAACTTCCCCTCCTAGACCCGCGCAATAGACAAACCGACCTATTGACCTCGTCGCGACCAAAAGGTCTGACCTGCCTACGTCTATACCAATACTCTCTGAGGGTTGTAAAGGCGTTTGCATACGCGCAAAACTGTCAGCTGTCAAATTCGCCCTGCAAGTTGTATGCCACATGACCCGTGCCGTAAAGATCAAACAGGCCGAGGCGGGTCTTTACTCTACCAAATTGAAAATAGGGCGATCTCTTGTGGGATTTCTTGCTTCAGGTGTTATTCAACTGCTGTCTAACCGTCCACAGACTACCTTCAAAACTGAGTTCCTTCGATGTTTAGAGCCTTCATAATCGCTGTGCGTATCACGCCTTTAATAGTCCTCAGTCTCGAATGAGAGCGCATTAAAGGAGGGAAGAAGGTGAATCGACCTCAGGACCTTAGAGACCCTACAATCAAACAGGTTGTCGCGTCTGTAGTGTGTGGTTCCGGATAAAAAGGCTTGAGTCGCTTGACGACAAACAGGATACTGCGTTAGAATGTCTCATGAATCACTGAATGAACCAGAAAAGAATTATTCTATGAGCCTCTTCGGTGACATCTGCTTCACGTGACCTTGTGATTTCTTGGATATTCAGGAGATGAATACACAGATGGCGAAAGCTGCCCGAGGTAGAACCTCCCCATTCAACCTCGCCAACCCTTATGAGGAGTGAATCATCTCTGAATCTCAACAAGGTCGGGCCGCATGGTCGAGGGGTTCTGGGCTGTAGAGGCCCCGACTAGACCGTGAAGTTTCCGGTCTATTTCGGGATCCAATGTTCAACCCTTGATCGGTCCGGTCTTGTTGCCTTTTTTCCAAGTTTTGAAGTCTGGAAAGTCATTAGACCATCAGGTCGGTCCTTCCTCACTTCTCAATTAGGGCTCCATAACAGGAAGTGATGACACCCCCCAGCCTGTTGACCTGCACGTATAGTCCTAGCAATGGTTCATCCCAAGCTAAGTAGGGTTCCGATCTTCAGGTAGTCCAAAATGAAACCCCGATACTCAAGCATCGTCCTTGATCTTGACTCCCAACCCACGATCAACAACAACAGTCGTCTTCTGCAAACTCCTCTTCACCGGCTTCTTATCACTGAAAATCTCCTCCAGCTCCTCCAACGTCCTCTCCTTAGTCTCGACGCAAGACATATACATCAACCCAAGATGCACAAAATGTAACACCAAGAAGATCGTATACGTCTTCCACCCGATATGCTTAATCGACACAGACGTACCGTACGTATTAATAAAGCTCGCAACGCCAGAGATGAACCCCTTGGCACCCATCCCCTTGGCTCGGATCTCGTTGTTCAGAATCTCCGCCGGGTACAGTGCCTGCAGGGGCGTCCAGCAGAAACCCCAAAAGATACCATACGAGAAGATCATGGCGATGAAGGCGTAGGCCTGCGGCTTGGGGACCGAGGTGCCCTCGTCTAGGTGGTGCTCTGCTTTCGCGGCGAGGACGTTGATGGGGATGTAGACGAGCCCCGTGAGCAGGGTGCCCCAGAGGAACAGCGGCCTGCGACCAACTTTGTCGACGAAGAAGGAGCCGAAGATGCCGCTGACGAAGGATATGACGGTGTTGATCCCGTTGAGAAGGAGTTGTCGGCTCGAGTCCGTGATGCCAACGCCGCGCACCATACTGTAAAAATCCAAAATCAGTACATGTACCATTTTGCTTCGTGCTGGAAATGTGTTACTCACGCAGGTAAATAGTACGAAATCACCGATCCCCCAATAAACTGAGAAAATACAGCAACAAGCATAATGAGCCACATGCGGTACCGGTTCGGCCTATTATTGACGAGAATCTTGTAGTTCCAATTATTATTCCTCAGCTCCTGCTCGGCCTCCAGCGACGTCCGGATCTCGTCGAGCTCGAGCTTGACGAGCGCCGAGCGCGGGTTCCCGTCGCCGTGGTACTTTGTCAGAATCGCCGCCGCGCGGTCCGTATGTCCCTGCGACCAGAGCCAGCGCGGGCTCTCCGGCAGAAACCAGACGACCGAGATGACAATGGTGGCCGGGACGAGCTGGACGATGTAGGGGATGCGCCACGCCCAGTCGCTGGGGATGAAGTTTGTGCCGTAGCATGTCCACGCGGCCACTTACTCACAATTAGCTCCCATTATGAACATTCTTCCAGGTCATTAAAGAAGAAAAACTCACTATTCGCCCCAATATACCACCCCAAAACATTATACAACCCCCCAGCCAACCCCCTCCACGTAGGATACGCAATCTCCACCAAGAACACCGGCGCCGACGTCCCGCACATGGGCGTCCCCGTGCCGACGATGAACCTGCCGATAAAGAACTGCGGCAGCTGGAAGCTGCTCGCCTGCAGCACGGAGCCCAGCACGATCATGGACGCGCCAGAAAACATGCAGGCGCGGCGGCCCCAGCGGTCCATGATGTACCCGCACAGCAGGCTGCCGATGATGCTGCCGACGGTGTAGATGGAGAAGACGGCGCCGTTGAGCTCGCCCGTGAGGCCGATGCGGAAGCGGGCTTGGAAAGGGTCCATTGCGTTGATGGCGGACATTACGGAGCCGTCGTAGCCGTTCATGATGCCGTCTTTTTTGAAAGTTGGAGATGGTCAGCTAGGGGGTGTCTTTGATCTTTTTGCAAAGTCATCGCGGCTTATGGAAAGGGAGGTTTTGATGGGGCTTGAGAGACGTACTCAGAACGCAGAGACACATCATTGCGTACAGCGTCATCTGCGACTTTGACTTGTAGTCGGGCTTGTCTTTGGCAATAGCGTCGGCGAGTGCGACGGACTGGACATTGACTTCTTTGGCGTGGCGGTGTGTGAGGGCGTTGTTCTTTTCGTCGTCCAAGGCGGAGGTCGTCGCCTCGACGCGGTGCTCTGTAGCTTCATTCTGCTTCTCCATGGCTGATGTTTCTATCCTGCATGAAAAGCTTCCTGTGATGAAGAGGCTCGACCTTGCGGCGGTGGCTGCTCAGGCTAGATACGGTGGTGAGCAAGACGCCCTCATCATCAACTTTATATCAGAGGCTCGACTCCTACCACGTTCAAGCTATCACCCATAGCCCAGACGGCATTTCCCCGGACCTTGCCCTCCCAGGATGGCCATCTGGGGATATCGGGCAGTCCAACCGATAGACTTGGAGCGATACGACACCCCCTGCTTCGTCCCTCACCCCAAGAACATCCCCATGTCGCCGCATGCACCCCTCACTCTCACTGCGGGGTGACGATCCAGGCGAACCAACAACAAGATACAAGACGTACGAGAAATCCCACGTTTATGCCAAGACGGCAGTTCATATCACCGCATCTCGCTATAATCCTACGACAAACCAAGATGGTACCATGGCTCCGATATGTCCATGTGCGCAGCTGACCAGTGTGAGATGCATTCATATCCTAGGGTTCCAAACAAGCAAGTTCAATAAACATAACCGCCAAACCTTCATTGGCGGGAATTGCGTCCGTTGGAGCATGTTTCGCAGCTGGCAGCTTTTCCGTGCTCCGGCAGATGTATTGGCATGGTTTTTGTTAACCCATCTTTTTATATGCACTCGAAGTCTGCCTTATCCGTATCCGCCAAGGGGAATCCGAAGGACAGGAAGATTGAACTAATGAGAACCCAGGGTGAATGGAGAAAGGCCAGGCCGGCCGGTCATCGTTGCTCGTTTGGAAAAGATGTAACATTGTGCAAGTCAAGATTGAAAATGAGAGCAATTCCCCCTATATTTGTAACCCAGGATGATCTTAGATGCAGACATTATCATCTTTTAAAACAAGAAAACGCCCGCGCCGCCGAGAATGCCATCCGCCTTGCCCCCAAGATAAGTTCCCCATCTAATCAGACGCGCGTTCATTCATGAGTTGTCTTTGTTGGTTCATTTCTGGATAGCCCAATATAATCTCTAGTGGTTTGAGTAAAGAAAAAGAAAACAATCCCATCTGCCTTCTCGGATGCCTTGCCTGCCCATGTCATGTCTACTTTGAGATAAACATTCTTTGTCGTGTATCCCGTCTTTTCAGAAATGCCGGAAGAAAAAATGCGAAATAGAAAACAGATTCTTAAACGACGTGCTTGACGCCGTTGGCCTGCTTGGAGGCGGCGAGCTCCTCCTTGACCACACGGTCAAGGCAGCCCGCGCTAGCGGCAACGAAGCCGAGGTAGGGTCTCTGTCCTGCTTGTCAGTATTATGCGAGGGAAGGGGATATGGGGCGGCAAACGTACGCTGGGGTTGAGGACCTTGGACTGGTACTCTGCGTGGAACTGGGTTCCGACGAAGTAGGGGTGGTTTTGGAGCTCGAAGATCTCCATGCGCTCACCAGTGTCGTCCTTGCCGATGAAGTTCAAGCCGGCCTCGGAGAGCTTCTCCACGTAAGCCGGGTTGGCCTCGTAACGGTGGCGGTGTCTCTCCTCCACAGAGTCGGCCTCGCCGTACAGAGCGCGCAGCTTGGACCACTCGCTGCCGGGCTGGAACTCAGTCGGGCGCAAGCCGAGGCGCATGGTACCACCGAGCTTGTCGCGGCTGATCTCGGGCATGTAGATGACGACCTTGTTCTCGGCCTGGGCATCAAATTCTTCCGAGGTGGCGTCAGCGATGTTGAGGAAGTCGCGGGCGTACTGGATGATGGCGGTTTGGAAACCAAGGCAGACACCGAGGAACGGGGTACCGTTCTCACGCGCCCACTTGGAAACCTTCATCATACCCTCGGTACCTCTGGTACCGAAGCCACCGGGAACAATGATACCGGAGGCCGTGCAGACATCGTGCCACGCCTTGTGGTACTGGGCCTGGTCCGCAGACTTGGCCTGGATCTCGAGGTGCTCGGCATCAACCCAGCAGATGTTGAGCTTCTTGCGCAGGTGCATCGCCGAGTGCTCCAGAGCCTTGACAACGGACAGGTAGGCGTCCTGAGACTTGACGTACTTGCCGACAAGGGCGATGTTGATCTCACCGTCGTACGGGCGGCTGACGACGGAGGCCCATGTCTTCCATAGTGCCGCTCCCTCGGCGATGCGAGACTGAGGGATGGACAGGGCGTCCAAGTTGACGGCCTTGCGCAGCCAGGGGATGAGGTTCTGCTCCTCCAAGAGGAGAGGAACTTGGTAGATGGTGGGCATGTCGCGAACGACAAGGACCTGAGGAACGTCGACCTGGCAAAGAAGGGCAATCTTCCTCACCGTAGCCTCCTCAAGGGGCTGCTCGCAGCGGCAGGCGATCTGGGCAGTCGTTAGCTGTAGAACGAACCATCGGAGACAACCAACCCTACCATATCAGGAACCAGGCCGTAACTGCGAACCGTCTTCACGGCATGCTGTGTGGGCTTCGTCTTCTGCTCGCCGTGGATGGTGGGTACGTAGGAGACGTGGATCTGAATGAAGTTGCCGCTTCCGGCTCTGTGGCGCACTGTGAGGAGTCAGCAGTCGAATCAGCCTGGGAGAGCTTGTAGCACAAACATTGAGTCAATGCCTCGACGTAGGGCATCTAGATATGGTGTTAGAATGCTTAAAATGCTTCAAAAGGGACGTCCCCTTTGTTTAGCACGTCTCCGGGAAAACGTACGCTCTCGATATCACCGACTGTGCCTCTGTAGTAGCATGTTAGCATCTAAACCGACTGATATCCGTGACGACGCGATCTCGGATCGAAGAAGCCGTCTGCATGTACATAGTTGTATATTGGACAGGGGGGCCAGCTGGAAACCTACCCAAGCTCGATAATGCAGACATCGGGCTCCTCGCCAGAGTCGTCTGTGGGGATCTTGGCAACACGCTCGATCCAGTCCTGAATCGCATCGGTGACGTGAGGCACGCTAGCATCTGTCAACAAATTGAAAGATTTAGGTAGACCTGTCGAGGCCAAACGTACACCTGAACCGTCTTTCCAAGGTAATCGCCGCGGCGCTCCTTGTCAATGACATGCCTGTAGACCTTGCCGGTGGTGATGTTGTGCTCGCCCGTCAGACGGATGTTGAGGTAGCGCTCGTAGTTGCCCAGGTCTGTATGCGAGCCTCGTTGTCAGAGATTTGCGATTGATAATAATGGCAAAAGCTTCTCCCCCGAGAAGAAAAGGGGGAGGGATCCATGGGCTAGATGTCGTCCAGAGGTTCACCTACCGAGATCTACCTCCATGCCATCGTGCAACTGATAATGGTCAGCGATTTCTGTCAAATCAGAACATTACAGACTGCCCCGAGGATCACCAACACCTCATGATCATAGGTGTGGCTTGGATAGAGACACTTGTCCCTATTCCCCGGACCAGGAATGGCACTCCAGGATTCAAGGGATACGAACCACAAAGCATTCGCCGTGCTCGGCGGGAGCCATAAGACCAGCATCGACCTGTATGTCATCGTCAGTCACTGGAACACATAGTCAAGGGAGGGGTTCAGGGGAGACTTCACTCACCGACAGGTACGGGTCGATCTTGATGCTAGTGACGCGCAGTCCCAAGGTCTTGAGGAGCTATTCATGGAAACCCCAACCGTTAGCAATGATGCATCATTCGAGGCCGACTGCATTGCATGTATGCATGCATGCATATATGATATGGCTGTGAGATTCCCAGAAGAAAACACCCCGCCATTCCCCAATGGCTTGCTTGGTGTGGCAGACAGAGCTCTCAAAGTGTATTCTCAGAGTGTGAAGTCACAGCCGCAGATAAGGAAATTTCAACAGGGGTTCGGATACACACCAGACCCGTGGAAGAGGCGATGATGCCCTTGCCCACTCCAGAGATGACACCGCCTGAGACGAGAACGTAACGCATGATGGCTGATTTTTTTGCGACAGGACAACAAAAATCGTTCGTAAGAAGGGTATCGTATACGTTCGAGAGAGGGGCGAGGCTTGTCTGGTGGCGATCAACTCTTGTTTGGCAGAATGGAGGGGAGGGAAGAAAGAGAGTCAAGAGTCAAGTGCGGGACGCGACGCGGTCGGAAGTAAAGAAATTTTTGGTTATCGATAACGCATGACGGCCGGTGCAGCCTCTGAGCCTGCCCGCCCGGTTCTTTTCTGCGTGCGGCGTGCCTGCCTACGCCCTTCGGGACTCGAGTTCTCAGGGGACCGGGGTCCTGCCGTCTGCGGCGTTGCCTCAATCACAGCGGAGGGCAACGAGCAGCGGCGGGGTGAGGTGGTCCGTGAGTCGTGTAAAGTGGATTTGAGCCACACCTTGATGAGAAATGAGGCTTGCTCACGTGCCATGCTCACCGAGGTGACATCCTCTCTCACCGAACTCCCGTCTCGAGGGCAGCATGTAAATTGGTCATGAAGGCATAAAGCTGCAGTAAGAAGCAGCCTTCTGTTCAAGAGCTTAAAGATGGTCCCTATATTACGGTTATCATACTCTAGGGTATCAATTTGTCTTTTATTTGAGCACACCCTCTCTGACGCATTTCCTCCTGTCTTTTGAATTGGTTCCAAAACCGAGAAGTCACATTGGCGATAGAGGTACGCGAGCATGTGGAACAAGACAGACGACCTGCGGACTTCACTTCGTGTATATAGACTATCGAGGGCTTAACCTCATGGAATATAAGTATACCATATTATCATCCAACAGTTGGAATTCATCATGAGGTCGATCCCACAATGACTTCATTTGCGTTTCCCGTTGCGTCTCAAGGCTTGAGTCCCACTGGGCTCCAATCAGCGTGAGAAGTATCGGTCTTGACAGCCTTAAGTACAGGAAAGAAAAGACGCATTGGCACGTTCCAGTCGATAGATGTGCCAGAAATCGAAAAGGCACGACACGAGACTCTCGTTGCAATGCATAAGGAAGCTTAATTCAACTCACTTCATCTGCAATGAGATATTTTCCTGCAGTGTATTATCAACAATATCGATTGGCAACTCGTGAAATTATGGGCGAGGGAATTCACTCCTATTTGACAATGTGAGACGCAAGGCCAATCAATTCAAATATCACTTTCAAGTTTCAAGGTATATTCAAATAATAGACCTAGACCAGACACTTGCTTGAGTACTTTCTTACACCGCAGTTGTAAGTAACACGATCTGTGGACGCAATGATTGAGATGAACATCAATACTTTCCTACTTGCCGTCTCTCATAGCATAATAGCAATTATCTACAGGATACGCAGGTATCGGGATGACCTGGAGCAGCAGAACCAACAACAAACATCGGGCATCCAGGTTGGCGGCGCCGTCGAAGGTCTGTGCCCCACAGAAGCAGTGGAGCCGACGTTTACGCTAGACAAGTTCCGTTCGAACCAACCTAGTGCAGATTGGTCACAGAGCGGATGTGCAGGACTGGGAAAGGGACGGTAGCACAGGGGGGTGAGATGGCGGGGAGGGATGCTGGAGTCTGGACTAAGGTACCCATCCGTGGATAACAGGAGGACAGGACTCGACGAACTCTGCTCATCGACCTGTGGTACATGCTCTGTATACAAGTGTTGCCAGAAACTCAGTTTCTCATGGCGTCTTGTACCGTCATCCAGACTGTCAAGTCAAGAGGACAATAATTTGAGATCTCGCACCAATACCGTGCCCCAATACCGAGCACAACCTGCTGAGAGAGAAGGGATGCTTTATTGCTTTCGCTCCATGAGAAAGGCAAGCCTCCCAGTCTGTTCTTTTGTTTATGTAGTCTCGCTACGGATGCTTGCTTCGTTGTATCGGAGAGCGGCAACCCTGTACGCTCACACTCATATGGAACTGAATCACTCCATACATATCATGAGATTCCATGAGATTTCGTCATGTCGGTAGTGAGGGGAGGTGGGTCGAGATCAAGGCTGGCGGGCGTTAAAGCTTTGGCGTTTGCTGGTCAGATTTGGGTCTCGGAAGGGAGGATGATGGATGGTTGGATGGTGCGCCTTTTCTTGGGCAGATCTGCACCCACCAGGAAACGCTCACGCCTGTGATGGCGGTGATTTGTTTCAGGATGTGCTCAAAAGCTTGGAGCTTTCCTTCATTGTAATGGGAGCGAAACGAGAAGCTATCCCAAAGCCCGCGACGTTCTACCTAAGCAGTCCCTGAACTTTGGCATTAACTGCCTCAGGGTCGGTGAGGGGGGTCTGACGAGGATGGAGGGATGCTTTTGTATTCGTAAATGTGAACGGCGGACCATCCATGCGGTCCGGCATCTTGGGTGCTTGGCCACAACAACAAGGGTACCCAAGAGTGGGGAGACATGGGAACCGTCGAGGTATGAGTCTGAATCGGTTCGAGCGGTGAAGCCAAGGGCAAAGTGATGCGAGCGGAATAAAGTAGCAATGGCACCGGCTGAGGTGGGAATCAATGCTTGAAAGTTCTTCTTCCTGATGGAGGTTGTACAGGATCGAGTAGAGGCACAGCCGACAGGGATTTGTCCAGATCGAGCAAAGCTGGAGGGGATGTGAAGCAAGCGCTGATGGTGGTTTTCTATCTCGTGTGGTTAGTGCAGTGCATGCAGTGCAGTGTGCGCATCCACGTCTCGTCTCTCGTCCCATCATCTCCCGGATGGGGCCGATGCTGGGCTTGGTGACATCCATGAATGGAGACTACCTTGGACCTCCATCCCCATCCAATACCTACCTTACCTACGGTTACCCTGAGGCATTGAGGCACGGCAACACAAACAGGAAAGATAGCCGAGGAGGGTTCAAGCCATGGGAATCCAGGCAGATGAAGGTGCCCTCGCGCGGAGCAGCACATCCATTCCATGTTTGGCCGCAATGAGACAGGAAAAAGGGAACAAAAGGTTATTGAAAAATAGGTAGAGACGAGAAGAGGATCCGAAGCTACCATCCTCGATGAGCGGCGTGGCAGAGACAAGATGCGCCAGGCCGGGCCTAGCAGCCAACCACACAGCTACCTTACCAGACAGCCAGCGTGGCAAAGGCAAAGGCCAAAGGCCAAAGGGAAAGACGAAGCCGTGCGTTTAAACGGGGTTTAGATTGGATTGGATTGGACTGTGGGTTAAGGTAGAAAGGGCGCGAGATTGAGGGACAGCGGGGAAGAAAGGCCGGAGCAAGCGATGAGATGAGATGAGGCAGGAATTTGCATTTTGCTATTCGACAGGGCGTGCCTCTCGCAATAACGTAAATCGGAGAAAAAGGGGGCACACGTGGATATGCAGAGCTGGTCCTCAATTATTGCTGGATGGATGATCTTCTTGCTGTTGAACGTAAGGTAAGTGCCTGAACACAAGGTATTTATTTGTAGAGGCACACGCCCGACGTGAAGAAAGACGAGAAATCCGGTGGGATGATTGGGATGGCGTGAGCAAGGTGGATGATGGGAGGAGAGGGAAACAGACGGCCGAAAAGAAGCAGAAACCATTGACGGGTGCGTACAAGTGAAATACACCGACCATGTTTACTCAGTACCTTACTGACACGGTCTAAAAGAGGCGTCTATCAGAATGGGGGAGGACGGGAGGTGATGATGGCTGATTTCCGAGGCTTCCCTACCTAGGTAGGTAGGTGCCCCCTCCCTCCCCCCAAAGCCCGCCCCGACGTCAGCTCCATTCCCATAGAAAGCATGTAGCTGGGACGGCAGCCACGAAAGGTTTTTCTCTCCTCCCATTGCAATAAGGTAACAATTCAAATGGCCTGGTGTTTCCTGCTTTACCTTGCTGCTTATTTTACGGTACCTTAGGTAAGGAAGCAACTACGTTGATCACCCGTACCTGCTTCACCTGTTAGCCAAGTTCCCTCGGAAGGTAGGGTGGGCAGGTACCTTCCTCGCCTTTCAATCGGGTCACAAACGTTCCTTCCTCGTTCCCACCAGCACCCGCATGACACATGGGTGGCTGCAACTTCCTCAGCCCAACTTTGCTCCTTCTTTCCATGAAATACCTTAAACAAGAGACAATATGGCACGAAAGCGAAGGCAATGGGAGAGTCACCCGCCGGACGGAGTGAGTATTGAATCAAAGATCAGGAAGGCAGGAAGTGCGCAGCTCATCGGAGGGGTTACCTACCGTTTTGCGGCTGTCCGACACCGTCGAGCAGGGAAGGGCAGGCACTGTAAAGGTAATGGGTCCGAACTGGGAGGAGCGCAGGACCGACACCAGCACCAGTACCAGCACGGAGGTACATCCGCCATGTACTCTAATTCACATAAATCGCCCAACCTGCCCCCGTTCCCTTTCCTCCTCTTTTCTGACCTTTCCCTCACTTCTCTGCTGCTTTCCTTTCCTGCTGTTCGTCGTCGTTTTCAAAGTCATTGCGATTGTCTCTAGTCTGCGTTGTCGCTCTTTACGGGCCATTTACACCGGCGTCTGCTGATCTGGAAACGGTAGCCCCTCCCAAGGCCTCACCACCGTTTTCCCACCGTCGGGACCTTGTAAGTTCTACCAGCTGGACCCGAAAACAACCACAACGGAAAATTCGACCTCGAAAAAGGACGACCGTCACCAAAAAACCAAATTCGATGGAGTGAGGGAAATTCGGTCAAGCCTCGCTTTTGCCAGGAACACGTCGATTCAGCAGACGACGCTGAGGGCAGACTCCCTCCCACAAAGGGTCGAAACAGTCATGGCCTGTCTGCGGCCACTCGACGGACGGGGTCGACCAGGGTGCTTGGCCGTATCTGGACCGAGTGGGCGAGAATCTCCAACCCAGCGACCACCATGAATGGCCAGGCCTTCAGGCTTCATTCACTGCCGCAGCCTTCGTCCCTCTTCATGTTTGACCGGCAGGCAAAATCAATGACCCAAAAGTGGCCAAAAAAACCGGACAAGTTCGAGATCAATCGACCCAGGGAAAAAAAAGAACCCAAGCACCACTGCGACACAGCAACAGCAAACTATCGAGCGCAGGCACGAATAGAAAGCCTTCTAGGACCAGCCATGCGGGCCATGACCGTGACGGGGCCGGCACCGGGCCAGGCCAAACTGCGCCAGTCATGGGATCCCGCCAAAGAAATGACGAAACAGCCCTGAGAGCAGCCTGGACCCTACCGCTACAGCCTTCTGCTACTGCCACTGCCACTGCGACCTGCCTTACCGTGGTGCCGTGCCAGTAAAGAGACTCGAAACCTTCTGGCCCAGTCCATTTGCTATATGCCAATTCGGAGACCGCCGCAGATTTTCGACGCTTCAGTTACCATCATGTGTCTGCCGACGTGCCTACGAAAAGCAGGAATGAAAATCTCATTATGGGCTGTCCGAGAATCACTGGCGTCGATGTTGGGCGATTCTGACGGGGATGTGATGGCCGCTTCGAACTGAGCCATGTCACTGGGAAGCATGCATCTCTACCGCATTAGCTTCTTTGGGGCCCTCATTGGCGGGGCATCCTGCAGCAATTAACCATGGACAACGAACGACGGCGGCAGTCTCGAGATGCACCATTTATTACTCGAACGACGACGACAACCATGCGCGGCAATTCGTCTCCTTGACCTTTCTTCGACTTGTTTGCTTTCTTCAGTTTGTACATCATGCAGACTTCTGCGCCCCCGACCTTCCCCTACGATCTGCACAAGGCAAGGCCTTCCCCATTTACACTAGACGCCGTGTTCTTACACCCCTGCGGATGGTGATAGGGAAACGCACAACCAGGCGCAGTGATGGAGCGACGTGCGACGTACTACGGCTTGCTAAAGTTGGCTGCCGTGACGCTGGATCGAGTTGAGTCTGCCACATTGCGACTCCTTCGCTCACACACCTACACACCTATCTACATACTCGCCATCTTCCAACTACTCGATGTAGGTTTCGGATGTGGCATTGCTATTAGACGCTGGTATCGCCTCACGACATGAATTTCTTTCGCGAGGTAGCTCGTCGCCTTCTATCTTTGCACCGGGGCATCTGGCTGCCTGCTCTCTATTCACGCCTCTTTCGACTGACAAGCTTCTTCTGCTTTCATTTCTTTTCTGTACTCCTACGACCCGAGCAGACCACTTGGTCGGAGAAAATATATCCGTGGACAGCCACACCAACTTTTGAAGAATATGCACAGGACATACCAGAGCAAAACAACATTGCATAATCACCATATGGGCATTTTTTTACAAGCGGAACTCATGGCGCTCAAATTATTCTCTACGCTACCGTTGTTCTGGAGGCGGCACCAACCGTTGTCTGGAATATTTTTCAATGCCAAGAAGTCTTGGGATTGGGACATGCCACACAGGCAGAAAACAGTGACTTGTTTATCGGCCTTGTGAGCACGAGAAATATGTTGAAAAGAGACGGGAATTACAGGAAGGCACTCTAGGCTCGATCAAGGGAAATAAGAAGGAAGATCATACGACACTACCTCGGAACGATGGTCGGCACAGAGAGAGAAGGAGAGGGTCATCGTGACTGTGAACTCAAGATGGGGATGGACAAGCGCAGACGACTTAGGGAACACGGGCATCGGAATGCTCGTTGATACCTATCACGAGGAAGGAGGACGACTCGTCGATAACAACGGCGATAAACACCATTCCTCACATCCGGTACGAAGTGAGCAGCAATTCTGCCAGAGGTGAGCGGATGCGGTTTAGGTGACTTTTCGGAGGAAGAGGGAAGTAATACACAGACGTTACTTGGTGGACACCAATCTGGTAGTGTCTGCTAAGAGAGTGATGGGAGATATTAACAGCAGACACTGCTCTGGTATTAGGCTACTAACAAAAACATCTCATTGGCTCCTCGGTTCACTCCGGGCCCTGTGTTCCACCGAGTCCAAACAACGCTAGTCCGTAGACGGAAGGGAAGCGCGTCTGGGAACATTTACCTGGCGGTGGGCGGATGAAACCAATGGAGCAGCAGCACAGCCCCCCAAAGTCTCTGCTGATTTGTCGAGAGTTGGAAGAAGCAGGCAGGAGCAGGACTTGACTTGACAGACACGACACAGCCAGGAACCTAAGGACACACTCTCACTCGGTCGCGTCCAGTTCGAATGGGAAGCCAGCGCAGTTCCAGTTCACAGTTCACAGTTCATCGACCCTCCCTTCCAATTCTAATATCCACGACTCTCAGCCCGGCTCTCATCAGTGTTCCAAGCTGCAGCAGCCTTTGCCTCTGATTCGGGACGCCGTCGCCGCCAACAAAGCTGCTTTTGCTTTCTGTTGTCCATCGCTTTTGAGTAGCATTTGTTAGGTAAGACCAGGCACACCCTCTCTCTCTATCTTGTTCTTCTCTCAGCCTTTCTGTTGCATTGCTTGCTTGCTGCTGGTCGCTTGCCCACCCCATCGCCTTTTGCTTTGAGGCTTTCTTCTGATTCTGCTTTTCTGTTCTGGCCTGCCCCGACCCGAAGCTGTACTGCCTCCCTCCGCCGCCGCCCCGAAAGTCGTACCCTTTTTTTTTTTCTCTTCCCCTTCCCAATCCTCGCACCCCCATCCCGATCACCCCCGGGCCGCCGATAGAGTTGTAAGTGCTGTTTCCATCGTCTCGTGACCTCTATTCGATGCGATGATGTCTCCTTCTTGATGGTTGACACCCGTCGATGTGGTTGCTGATGCTTGTGGTTGCGCGAGTTCGCGATCCTGGGCACTGCAGGCTTCGCATCGGCTCTGCCTCTTTTTTGCCTTTTCCCCCCTTATCGCTGCTACCTTGCCTTGTGTTCCTTGCGCGCTTCCCAGCCCATATGTGGCTAGTCACTCGAGAATAATCTAAGCTTACAAGATGCCTCTTGTTCGCCTGTCTCGTGAGTCTGAGGATTGCCTGTTGGCTTGGATGTGTTGCGTTGCTCATTTCATGCTCCTCCTCTCTGCCTTGCCCAATTTTTTTTCCCACCCTCTATCTAGCCTCTCTCACTCACTCTTTCCCTTCCCTGTGCACCACAGCCTTCCCAGTCTCACTCCCCCAGAAGGTACGCCGCACAGCCAGCTGCCAGAGTCACCTTCCCAGCCGACTCAGACCCGACGACGTGAGGAAAGGACCGGCTGCCCCAAAACCGGCACAAGTCATGCCCAGCCCAGCCCAGCGCACTTCATCCCCCAAAAGCGGCTGGCTCCACTGCTGATTTCCCACACACCTGCGACTCGTCCGCTCGCTCGTTCCCCCCAGCACCACGCACCACGCACCACGTCCAATCCACCACACACAACCGCGACGCGCGACAAGTCTGCATCGCGACAAGCCGCTGCCGTGTCACTCCCCATCTCATCCATTTACTGCTCCATCTCAATGGCCCTTGGCTCATTTCGTCGCAGTCGCTAATTTTCCCCAGCAATCGCTCCATGGGTCGCGCCAGACGACCTCAACCATGAGCACCTGGATGAACGAAGCCGCGGTCCCCAACCATAATGGCAACGGCTTCCCACATATGAACGATCCTAACGCGGCCGGAGCCATGATGGATCCTTCCGCCTTCATGGGCAGTCCTGCCCATTTCAATCCCGCCCAGTTTGCCAATCCCCAACAGGCTCAGCAGGCACAGCAACAGCAGGTTCAGCAGCAGCAACAGCAGATGGCCGCCATGCAAAATGGCCAAATGCGCAACGCCTCTCCGTCATCCTTTCAGAATCCCGCCTATCAAACAAACCCCGTTATTCCATCGAAACGACCTCGTCCTCGCGAAGACAGCCTCGCCGGCTCACCGCGACAAAACCCTGGCATGTTGCCAACGTCGCGCTCCGAAACGCCTCAGACCTTTCCCGGCTACCAGCCCGGTATGCCCCAACAGGCGCAAGGTCAACCTTCGCCGTATCCCCATCTTCAAGCCAACGGCTCCGCGAACGCGACACCTTCACCCATCATGGCGAACCAGTTACGACCCGGAAGTGTGCCTCAGCGAGTTGCGACCGCGTCGCCACACCCCTTCTCCCCGGGTGCGCAACAATTTGCGCCTCAAGCGTCACCGAATCCATCCGAGCACAGCACCCCGCAACCGAACCACTTCATGCAACAAAACATGCCCAACATGCCTCAGGGCTACAATCCGAACTTCAACCCTTCACCTTCCCCCGCGCGGCCCTCCCCCAACCCGAATGCGATGGGGGGCTCTGGCATGATGCCTCAGCAGATGGGACAGATGCCTCAGCAAATGGGCCAAATGCCGAACCAGATGTTGCCCCCCAACATGCAACCGCGGAATGCCATGGAGCACCAACAAATGGCAGCTTACCAGGCGCGGCTTCAGAAACAATTGCAACAGGGAACGATGCAGGGAATGCAGAACATGCAGAATATGCAGAACATGCAAAATATGCAAAACATGCAAATGGCAGCTCAGATGCAGGCTCAAAATATGGCGCAAGGCCGTGGGATGATGCCGAAGCAGCCCATGCAAATGCCCAATGGCCAGATGCCCCCGGGCGGTATGAGGCCCCAACCCCAGCAGCGACAGATGCAGCCACGAACCGACCCGGAGCAGTTCATGAAGAGTCTCACTACTTTCATGACCGCTAAGGGTCAACAGCTGGACGCGAACCCAGTCATTGGCAACCGACCCGTCAATCTCTTGACATTATTCCAAGCTGTGCAGAGCAAGGGAGGTTACAAGCCTACAACTGCTGGTAATCAATGGCCTCATATTTCAAACAGTATTGGATTTCACCCAGGCCAGATTCCCCAGGCACCCCAGGTGTTGAAGGAGATATACGAAAGAAATCTACTTAGATTCGAGGAGGCCTGGGTTGCGCAGCAAAATCGACAACGCATGATAGTACAACAGCAGCAACAGCAGCAGCAACAGGGTATGCCTAACCAGCCAATGCCGCCAGGCGCCCAACCCCAAACAACACCCACAAAACAAATGTCTCCGCAAGGGCCGATGCCGCCTCAACAGCAGCAGCAAATGATGCAATCTGGGCAACCGCCAATGCCGCCGCAAGCTCAAACTCCCGTCAAGCAAGGGTCTTTTAGCGGCCAGCCTCCGTCTGTCAACGGCTTCCAAACGCCTCAGGCTCCGGGGCCACATACGCCTGCGAGCGCACAGCAAGGCCATGCCCGGAATAGCTTGTCTCGCAGCGTAGAACCGACGCCAGGCCACCCCCAAGGATTTCCAGCAGCTTCTCCCGCGTCTGTCAAAGGTGGGGGACTGCCCATGCCTGCTCCTCCAGGATTGGACCAGAACCCCATGGCAGCTTCGATCAAGCCCCGTATGCTGCGGCTGGCTCAAGAATCGGACGAATACACGCCCAGTGCTCGCCCCCTCGAGACCTATGGTGGTATCAATATTCGAGCTTTCGACCTGAAGGGCTTGGAGCTCCAGGGCTTGAAGCCAGATGTCCCACCCCCATACGAACTTGGATACGTGGATTTGCACGCTTTGACACGAAGTCTGGAGTCTGGAATTCACGGCGAAGTACGACTTGCTCTTGACACCCTCGCCGCTGTCACTTCTACGCAGCATCAGGCCCTGCACATCCACCTCAAGTACTGCGAAGAGCTCATCGAAGCTTTACTTGAATGTGCCGAGGACCAGTTGGACTTGCTTGTCGAAAACACCGAGGAGGCCTCGTCAGACATTCAATTGACTCCCTACGAGGACGTGGCTCGTGCTTGTTGGACCGACAAGATGGGTGTGAAGGAGCTGCCCAAGTTTGGAACCCCCGAGTACGAACTTGACCGTGCTGTTGACCGGTTCTCTTGCGTCATCACCATCTTGCGCAACCTTTCCTTCCCTGAAGCTTCCAACGAAAACCATCTGGTTCTCGGCGACGAGCTGGTCATCAAGTTCCTCTGCGCTGTGATCAGATATCTCGGCACGAGAACCATGTTGTTCCGGACAAACGCAAACACTCTCGAGTTCATGAAAGACGCCATTATTCTACTGTCTAATATCGCCGGCGCAGTCGAAATTCCCGGCCGCGAGCAAGCGCTGTGTTTATTGCATTTTTTGCTCTCTTTTGCACCAGCACCTGGACCGTCTGTGGTAGACAACAAGCTCTACTTCCCACCTTACCAGCCTGGAGTCCATACATACACTTTCCATGCCGTCGATGCATTGGCTAGGTTCCTGGCTCGCGACGAACCGAACAGAACGCACTACAAGACCCTCTTTGCTATGGAAGCCAATAGCAGCCCACCATACGACCTATTGACGCGCTCGTTTGCTCTGGCCACCACGGTTATTCCCATTCAGTCACCAGAATCTATCGTGGCACACATCGAGGCTCCCGAGAAGTTCTTCAGGTTGGTCGAAGATCGGAAGCCTTGGCTCATGCAGGGTCTGTTGGCTACAGACATCATCGCATCTCTCGCACCCGGTTATGAGACAGGAATCGCTAAATCATGGCTATCCAGTGGCAATGGCTTTGCTCAATCCCTCTATCACTTTGTGCAAGTGCTTGGAGCTCAATTCGAGCAACCATGGCAAACGCGGAGTGGTCAAGGGGACCCTGCAGGTCGAGACACGGGCTTGGTCTATATTGCGACGTCTGGCATCTCAACCCTTCGGAGATTAGCAGAGAAGGCACGGGATCCCAATGACCCTAACTCTTTAGTCCCCGCGGACTCGTTACCATCGGAAGAAAGCCTCTTCAAGATGATGATGATGCGATCCCCCGAATGGACAAAAGATGGGGTGATGAGGAATCTTGCGGCCTACGCCTCGCTAGAGTCGTAGGCATTGTCATGGCTTCTCATGTATGGATTGAAACAAAAGATTGGAGAAAATCAAGCTCGGTGCAGGTCTTTCCACCAGATGGGTCTGATGGGCCGAAGACAAGACCGAAGTTCGGGACCTGAGCCGAACGAGGCGTTTAGATGTATATGGCACGTCTTTGTATAAGAGTTGTAACCAAAAAAGACTTTTGGCGTGTTGACGGGAGTTTACTGGGAGCATGGAGCGAGGCTACTTGGTCAAAGGGCCGTCTTTCATAGGTGTATATATAACGCGGAAATGCAAGAATACCTCACGGACCATATCCAATCACGACTGGTATTCATGATGTGATAAGTAGCGATCTTGAGCTTGTGCGAAGAGTTTAAGGATTCGAGTACTGAGGTGATGGTCGGAATTTACTCATCACACTGTCTCAGCTGTAAGACGTGGAGGAGTCTTTGGTCAAGTATTGCTCTCTATGGAGCTAATAGTACATCGCCATATGTCTAAGTCAATGGCGCAGTATCGTACCAAACTTTTCAATCCATGCCCTCAGCATAGAGCACCAGCCAATTGACCGTCTTTGCTCCTATTGGTATGATACAATTTCTGATTTTACAACTCGGCCTCGCCGGGGACCGAACCGCACACCGCATTGCCCGAAATCTATACCGTCTTTGCAGGGTTCCCCAACGCGGTGGTCAGCCACTCCTTGACCTTTTCGACGTGGAAGCCCTAACGATGTTGTTAGAATTTGACTCAGTACGGTAGAGAGACTCCGGAGAATTGGGCTTGGGAGAAATGAATGGATTCCGTTTCTCTCCCATACCAGTTCTATGGTTGCGAGAAGAAAGGAGCTCCAACGTACCTTGACCTGAACGTGTCCTGTGATGGGGTTCAGCTTGACCTCCGCCTCGGCGAAGCCAGCCTCGCGGGCGAGGTCCTGTGCAAACGCCTTCTTGTTTCCCTCAATCTTCTTGACAATGGTGAATTTGGACGAGCCGGCGGCCTTTGTGCGCGCGTAGACGGGGAATTGGTTCGAGGGGGTGAGGCTGACGATGTATGGTCTCGCTGTGGTCTTTGGTGAGCTCGTCGTCGTTGTCTCGGCGGCGGTTGTGGAGGAGAAGCGTATTGAGGGGAGGAAGGCGGGTGTTCTCGAGGTAAGGAGGGAGGTGAGCTGGGGCCGGGCGAGGGCGGCGCTCCTGACTGCTGAGCACATTTTGAAGTATGTGGTTCGGATGCTTAAGCCGATGGGTATCGTTTCGAGGCACAGAGACGGCGAGGATTCGTTTGAGCAGGGCTCTGTTGGGCGTTTGGCTGGATCTTTAGTTGGGATGGAGAGCTAGTACAGAGGTTTCTGGTCGTGAAGGGATTCGCGCCGGTTGAAGCTCGGATCAATTGGGAGCGTGTCGAGGGACCGTGCACTTGACGTTGAATTCACCGACAACACCCCACAGTTTTCCAGAGGTGCAGACGTTCTTAGGTAAGCTACCCATGGGCCACCAAGGTACAACAAAGCTGTCCTTCCAGTGGTTCAGGCGTTAGGCGGGAGCGGCAAAACCACGGCACAAAGCCCCCCACCAAACCTGCCCTTTGGCGAAAATGCCCAAAACTCTTTCTGCCCCTCAGCGGAAGGAAAAGATTGAGCAAAAGACGATCGCGCAGACCCCGAACCGGACGGCCGACGACACCACACCCCCCTCCCTCCTCCTCCCCTCAGGCGACGACTCCATACCTCGATTTTTACGATCCGGTATTTTCCAACATTGCCGTCCTCCGACCGACAACACTTAAACTCATCCACCACCCGAAAATACACCTCGCCCATCATGGAGGATGTCTATGCCGCCCTCGGCGAGGAGAGCATCCTGCCCAAGCTCGCGTCGCAGCTGTCCCGCCACCTCGTCTTCCCGCTGATCGAGTTCGAGGCCGGCCGTGCCGAGGAGAAGGGCGACGATGCTGGTGCCCGCAAGATTCTTGCCGGCAAGATCAAGCTGCTCGAGGATACCAACATGGCCGACTACGTCGCCCAGCTGTACCAGGACCTCAACGGCGGTGCTGAGGCGCCTGCCGAGTACGCCAAGAAGCGCAACGAGGTTATCGCGCAGCTTGAGAAGTATGAGCAGGACACGGCCAAGATTTCGGAGCTGTTGACTCGCGAGGACGTCGTTGGCGCCCTGCGCAGCGACAAGGTTGCCAACTTGGAGTTCTTGAAGAAGGATCACGATGTGAGTGGCCTTGTGTCCCTACTAGCTTCGGAGATGTGGTACACGGGCGCGTATGCTGACTGTAATGCTACCAAAATAGGTCACCATCGAGATGGTCAACGCCCTGTACGAGTTTGGCCAGTTCCAGTTCCGCTGCGGCAACTACGGTGCCGCTGCCGAGCTGCTGTACCAGTTCCGTGTCCTGTCCACCGACAACGACCGCGTCGCCTCTGCCACCTGGGGTAAGCTCGCCTCCGAGATCCTCACCACCAACTGGGACTCCGCCGTCGAGGAGATTATGAAGGTCAAGGAGAGCATCGACAGCAAGCTCTTCAACAACCCCCGCGCGCAGCTCGACCACCGCACCATGCTGGTCCACTGGGCCCTCTTCCCCCTCTTCAACCACGAGGCCGCCCGCGAGCCCATCCTGGACCTCTTCTTCTCCGCCGCCTACATCAACACCATCCAGACCGCCTGCCCGTGGGTCCTGCGCTATCTCATCGCCGCTGTCATCACCGGCCGCTCCCGCTCCCGCAACTCCTCCCTGCAGGCCAAGCAGATGAAGGACATCATCCGCTACGTCCGCCAGGAGGCCTACGAGTACGCCGACCCCGTCACCGAGTTCGTCTCGGCCCTGTACGTCGCCCACGACTTCAACGCCGCCCGCGAGGCCCTCCGCAAGGCCGAGGAGGTCTGCCGCGCCGACTTCTTCCTCATGTCGTCGTCCGACGCTTTCGTCGACGCCGCGCGCCACCTCATCTGCGAGAGCTACTGCAAGATCTTCTCCCGCATGAACATCCGCGACCTCTCCGCCAAGCTCGGCCTCAACCCGGACGACGGCGAGAAGTGGATCGTCAACCTCATCCGCGAGACCCGCCTCGACGCAAAGATTGACAGCCAGGAGGGCACCGTCATCATGAACCACCCGCCCAACAACGTCTACCAGCAGGTCATTGAGAAGACAAAGGGCGGCTTCTTCCGCACGCAGGTGCTCACCGCCGCCGTCTCCAAGTAGGATTTGGCTTCCCCGACGGAGCGGCGCCAGCACCAGTATGAGCAGAAGCAGAAGCTACAGCAGATGCTTTGGGATTATTGAGGATGGGCAAGCAATGAAGAAGAACGCTAGCTTTTAATGGCCACACACGAATCACACATGATTTCAAGACGATTACCGTACAAAAAAAGATGGGAAATTGTTTTTTGGTGATCCAAAAAGAAGAAGGGGGAGAAAACCCGGGGTTTTCTTTTTTTTTTTTACAATGACACGATAGAACCTACACCGCCAGATCCACGACACTAGAGGGATATCTCACCTCTCTGAGGGACGAGGATTCCTTCTGGGGACGAGATTTGGTGGAAAGGGGCGTTTGACGTGGGCGGATTTCGGAAAACAAAGAATCGAGGATCCTGGTCATATCACACACCACACATACATTACACACACTACACACACACGCAGACATCCCCGAGGCTTCTTTTTGCATTGGCACGGCGTTCAGGGCAAAAACGGGGAGGAGATCTTCCCCCCCTTCCCAAAAGGGCTAAGTGAAGGGTGGAAGTCGAGAGGGGTGAAGGACGGGGGCTTAAAGAAGAAGCGGAAAGAGGCAGAAAGAGAGAAAGCCTAGAGGGGGGATGAAAGTAGATTCACCGCACTTATTGAAATGTTATCAGTTTGAAAAATATTGCTTTACGTGAAATGGTGATGTGTCGAGTGAAACGGAGACTGGCTGTCCTTGCATTTTCTTGGCTTGGTCCATTGAAGATGGATGTAGTAGAGAAAACCGTACTGTCTCATTGACTGCTGGAGGGCGTCAGTATAACCATGACCGTCTCTCATCGAGCCTCCGTCTCCCCTTTTTCTCCAACTTCCCCTTCATCCTGCAACTTTTCATAAGCAGATAGATGTAAGGGGCATTGGGTCGGTCGGACAGAATCCTAATGCGTTTTTCCCCCCTTAGGACAATACCCATATATATATGAAGACGCCATATAGCAGTTGATGGGATACATGAGGCCATCTTCCCCTTGAGATCTAGCCTTCCATTTTTCACACCTCCCAAAGCAAGACACTGATAGTTCACCTAACCCAGAACCTATACAGACACCCTTCCGCAAATGCGACACCATACGTCAAACGCAGCGAAAGGACAGGCGATACATCATAGGACGATACGGAAAGATGAATGTTCGTTTCATAAGACGTTTCTTCATAACGATAATCTAACTTCCTTCTTCTCTGAACCCACACGCAGAGACATCTTCAAATGCTTCGAAGACTCTGTCCCGCCCCGTCCTCGCGACCAGCCATGAAAACCCGCCCCTTGAGCTCCTCAACAACACTATCACGCATCCACCACTCCTGATTCTTCTCCCCTTCCGCACCTCCACCGCCACTATTGCCGCCAGCCTTGGCAGCCTTGCCCTTGGCCCAGGCGCCCCCATCAAGCTGCGCCCGTCGATCCGCCCACTCAAACAGCATCTTCAACCCCAGAAGCCTCTCCCGCGAGGACCCGTCCATGCTCCGCTCCAGCACGAGACGAGCGTCCACCGCAGACCCCGAGGTCTCGCTAGCAGCGCCCTCGGAGCTGGTGCTACGGTCCAGAACGGTGGCGCGTTCGGCGTACGTTAGGTCGCGGAGGGCATCGAGGCCAAAGATCCATTCGATCGGATCACGTGTGCCGTTGTCGGTTACGTCGGCTAACGCGTCTCGTCCGAGGGCGCGGAGCGTAGAGGTGAAGGGTGCTTCTTGTGCGGGACGCCGGCGAAGGTAGAGGCTCTGATTCTGCTTAAAGGCGTCGACGAGCGAAGGGTTCTTTTCAAAATCGATTTCGAGGTCCCAGAAGGCTGGGCCAGCGTCGGTACGGATACTGGCAATGTCGGCCAGAGGAGGCAGAAGACAGGGCGTGTTGCGGACGACGGCGACATCTTCTGCGCCGTGGTCTCCGTTCATTTTCCTGCGGATCTCGATCGGTGCCGTTATCGGTTGGCCCGTCGCGACGTCCTTTGCGACGAGGCAGCGAGGGTCGGTGGCCAGGACCCAAAAGTGGCGGAAGGCTTGGAGGTGAGAGCGGTTGTCCATAACTGAGGTGGGAAAGATGGGATAAAACGCAATGAGCAAACTGGCGATGGCCATGTTACTCGTGCCAAAGGTGGCTGTTCCACATCCGAGGAAGAGAGACCCAATGGCGAGATGTGCGGCCAAGTGCGAGCCGTAAGGGGTATCTGGATCGTCACGGCCATGCAGTAGACGAAGACGACGTAGCACGACAAGATCACCGGTGCCTGCCATGACAATGGCGGCGGAAAGCGCGAGAACGTCTTGGCACATCCGCGCGTTGGACCGGGCGAGCTCTTCGTCGTACATGGGATAGTCATGTGGAGGTGGCCGTGGCGTGGCAGGTATCCGAGATATACGGATAAACTGGTCGAGATAGTGTATCAAGAGGTCTCGCACCCTCGCTGACGCGCTGCCCGCATAACGCAGCGCGATAGAGAAGCAGATTCCAGTAACGATGCTGAAGAATGGTAGGTCTGTACTCTTCAGCTTAGTGGTGTTGACCAACTTATACCGGGCACGGTACGCCTTGGGAAGGCTCTCCAAGATCCATTCGAACTTTGGTTCGATCTCGTTCCACATGATTAGGTTCTTTGCAACGGTACGCAGCAGCAGGATATCCGGCCGGATGTAGTCGAACTGAACAATGGACTCCGGTACGTCAATCTTCCTGGCTACAATATGGTCCTCTGACTTCATGAAAATCAGAGCGAGTGCCATGACTGCGCCAGCTGCTGCTCGGTCAAGAACATGTACCATTTCGACCTTCTTTGTGGCCGTGGCAATCGTGATGAGGCTTTCGGTCAGCCTCAAGTCGTGAAGCCCACGGAGGTCGTTGCCTTTGCCGAGATTGATGAGGCCAAGGGAGAATCCGGCGGCGAGCCGGTAACACTCGCTCCGAAGGGGCTCGTCTTCGTCTTCCTCATCCATATGCTCGATTTCAGACATCATGATCTCACTCATGCGTCTGTGTTGACTGTTACAATAGAGGAGACCAATGCCCATGATACCCGTAGTCTGCGTCAACGGGGACAAGTTCAGCTCCGCAGCACCCCTAGGAAGCATGCGAGTAACATGAACAGAGAGCAGACGTGTGATGAGTGAGTCCATGGTACCCATATAAGACGCAGCGAGCCCCAACAACAGACCGACTGAAGTCATGGTGTGCTTCGGAGTGAGGTACTTGAAAGCAACCCATTTCGCAATATCCTTGAGGTGTCCGTTTAGGCCCAAAGCAAGCAGAAAGCCTGCGTGTCGATTGCTCAGATCGTGGCCAGGCTTATTGTACAAGATCCAAGAGGTGTCGATACCTTTGGCCTCTGGAGAAATGGCAAGTCCGGCCGCCACGCCCTGGTGGAAGAACCCCCAGCAGACCTTTTCTTCCGTGAAAAGTGCCTTGTCGACACCGACGGTGACATTTGTTGGACGAACGACGCAATTCAGGTTGAACCCGGCTACGTGGAACTTTTGCGTCAACAGCGGGTATCGTAAGCTGTAATACAAGAGCGCTCGGCCAGCAGGGATGGCCAGAGTGCCCGTGGCAATTCTGGATACAAGTTCCTTTTGTCTTTCGAGGTATTCGCTCTCTGACCACGCTGCATCGGCTTCCAGACGAACAACACGAGCTCTGTGAGTGGAGAGGAGATTCTGGGCTTCGTTGAGGCGACGGTCCTCTTTGAATAATGCTCGTATGACGGCCTGTCGCTCGGTTCCCTGCCCTTCGTCGTAACCGTTATTATTGTACTCGTCGACGCTGTGGCAAATAGTCCGGTAGTCCCATGACGCATTATGCGTGGGTGTCTATGGCTTGTTAGTACAGAGTATCAGGGAGGCTGGTATCAAAGAATACGGACAAGAATGTTGGCGCCGCTCTTCTGCAATTTCTTGATTGGCGCCAGAACCATGCTGATATCGCCACGGTTAACAAGCTCCAACAGATCCTTGGGCCATGAGGCGGGTGGTCGGGCTTGACATCTGGCAATCGAGTCTTTGAGCGGCGCAAGCACAGCCTCTGGAAGGGTCTCAAGCACCTGACTGCTGATGCCTGCCGAGTGCATTGCTTCGACCATGTTAGCGGCGCTGCTCTTGGGTGTAAGCTTCTCGAAAAGCCGCTTGAACATGAGCGTTCTTGGTGTGATAGAAGCCCATCTGGAATCCTTGAGGTGCTCTTGATCAGCCTTCAAGTTTTGAGAGTGATAAAGATTCGCTAAGGTAAGGAATGGGTGGTATTGGCCGGCGGCAAGACATGTCTGTATCCAGTGGAAGATGTCAAAGTCAACGCCCGACGGTTGCGTAAGAGGTACTTCAAGGCGGAGTTCTGTTCCTGTCAGTATCTCTCCATGTTTTCTAAGACGAATTACTGACCTGTATCGTAGCGAGACTCCAATTCCTCCTGAATTCCAAGCTCGTACACTGCGACAAAGTCGTGCCATCCCAGCCAACGGGCGATTTGACACATGACCACCCGGAGTGGCGCCGTACCCGGAGAAGCATATTCAGGTGTCATGATCTCCAACTTTTGTTCCTCAAGTAGGAGATGAAGAGCCACGAATACGTTCCAGGCGGCATTGCCACGGTTCTCTGCACTTCGTTGCTGTCCGGTTGGAAGGTATCCATTGGCGCCGACAGCCTTCTCGCCAAGCGGAGATGCCAAGTAGCCCTTGGCGTATTGAATGTGAGTCGACATGAACTTGGTATCTCTAAGACCAGGATTGGGTGAACTGGAGAAATCGTCGCTGCCATCCTCCTCGAGGGTCCAGTCCCAGCCTCTTGTTTGCTGCCAGCTCGGGCAGCCTAGGGCATTGGGGGTTTCGTATAAATGTAAAGTGTTCCAGTCCTCGACGTCCTGTATTGACCCGAATGAGCCAGACTGTGGTCGCCGTTTGCCTCTTGACGGCTTTGTGAGGGATTCTTGTGTGGTGCTGGCCTTGCCCAGCGCGAGATAGATGGCTAGAAGCTGAATGACCAGGGCTGACCACTCGGCATCGGCGACTTCAATCTCTTCGCTCTTCAACCATATCATGATATGCCACCAGCCAGGAAACATCTTCTCAGCGTGAGAAGCGGGAAGAATGCTCCGGCAGGCGTCGAGCACTTTCCGCACCTGGTGATTGCGAGGCTGAAGCTGAATTTGGATCTGATGGTGCCTGCCATCACTATCAACCATGTCGACGATACCCCTTGCTTTCGAGTATTTCAGCGCTCCGACATTTCCGTTCGCAACCTCAATGTTTTCAGACTTGCGATGTCGGACATCTCTGTCGACAACTCGGCCGCGGTAATGCAAGCTCCTCACATTCTCCAGCGACATTGGAGGAAGGTTGATGGGTGTAATTTGACTCCACGGCGCCTGTATGCTGAGCTCCCTACGCCCCTCATGCCCTTCAGATAGAATGAGTATAACCGATATGTCGCCGTCAGTCACTTTGCAAGAGTCCACAACATGATGGGCCCGCCGAAGAGCGCCACAAGCTAGTCTTACGGGATCTTCTGACGAGGTGGAGCTTTTACCAGGCTTCGGTGGAACAA